TTTCTTTTCTAACTACTTATCTTTTAGAAGAATTTAGAAAGCCTTATGTGCACTATTTTTCTAGTCCCTACAAGCAAAAGATAATGGGAAGGTTAAGGACAGAGCTGCACATGGTCAAGAAGAAATGCTGGACATGTAGGATCCTAACTTTCTTCCTGACTTAAATGTTCAGTTGTTGCTGTTCAAGTATTTATGTACATGTTCATCACTGTATTACTTCTAATCATAAATGTCAGGATCAGTGAAATTTATAAATGACTTTAGCTGTAAAAAACAGAAAACCCAAACACAAGTAGGTTAAAACAATAGTTGTTTTTCTTATCATAGCAAGAAATCCAGAGGTTGGTAGTGGCTAGCATTATTGAAATGTTCAACGATCTCCGGGCCAAAAGCCTTTAATTTTCTTAATTTTCCCCTCATAGATGAAAGATGACTAACACATCTCTAGACATCTTATTCCTTACAAAGCAGAAAGAATAGGTAAGAGATGATACCAGTTTTGGCTGTCCCATTTAATTTGGAAGGCAAAATTTCCTGGAGCTTCCCCCTGACTCTGAGAAATCTTCAGTTTACTTCCCAATGGCTGGAATTTACACTATCCGAGTTGTAATTGAGGCTGGGAAAATGAAATCATTGGGAATATTTGGTTTTTCCCATCCTTGAGGGAGGGAAGTGAGAGGGAAGTTGAGTGAGTTTTAGGGTCTGCCACAGTAAATTCAGGAAACAGAAAAATATCTAAGAATATGAGATCGACTGAGTATGATGTGCCATATGATTCCCAGGTGGCTGCTAAATTGTGGTTTAGAAAAACACTTAGTTGCATGCAAAATTATTCATAAAATGTTGTCGACTAAAAAATTAACATATACAACGACAGAAAAGAAAACATCGCATTTGTTGGGGTGTAATAAGTTTAGATAGATTAAAAAATTTAAAACAGATATATGCAAAAAACAACTGGAACTTACATTCTGAAAATGTCGACTTAAGTTGGGTTTTCCAGAAAACATGCTGAGGCAGGGATCTGCATGCAGGTGCTTTACTAGAGAGTGCTCTCAGGAATGGGACCTGGATGGAGGCAGGACTGGGCAGAAGATTCAGGTAAACTGCAGGGCAGTTGCCACAGAGACTTTAACCAGTCCCATGGAAGTTCTAAAACTGGATGTCCCAGATTGTCCCAGTTGAGGGACTGTGCCCTTGTATAGCCACAATGGACTAGTCATCAGATTTGGGCTGCCCCAAGGAGGGAATATAACCTAGGGAGAAGTATTTTCTTTCACAGAAGGCAATTTTGGAGAGAGACTCAACTGTGAGCCATCAGCAGCCAACATTCCTGGCAGCTGTATCTTGGGATCTGGGCAGCACACCACAGCATCCACCAGAAATGTCAACAGTGATTCTCTCTGGTTTGGGGATTAAAGTTGGTTCTCTTTCTCCTAAATATTTTCCACAATGAACATTGAACTGTCCTAATGACTCAGTGAGTTAATTCATGTAAAGTACTTAGCGCAATTCCTGGAATTTATTAAGTATTCAATAAATTTAGCTATAATTATTTTTTATTTAGAAATATATATATATACATATAACCAATTTAAAGAGAAAAACATAAATGTAGTGATTGTCAAGAAAGTATGAAACAGAATTAAAATAATAAGAGACATTGCTGTTCATTTTGAGTTATTTTATCTGTGAAATTCTTTCTTATGACATTGTTTTTTCTGGCATTACCCAACAGAATTTTCTATGATGATGGAAATTTTGGTATCTGTGCTATCCAATACAGTAGCTACTAGCTACAGGTGCTACTGAGATTTGAAATGTGGCTAGTGCAAAGGAAGAACCAAATTTTAAATTGTATTTGGTTCCAATGCACTGAAATGTAAATAGCTATACATTGCTAGTGGCTACCATATGGGACAATGCAGCTCTATATCAATATTACACAATGGTTAGAGAATAGATCTAACAATTTTTGTCTCTTCAAATTTGGATTAGTTCCTCAACTCACCCAGTATAATTCCCTAATCATGATTTCAAAATCACATGATATTTAGATGTATAGAAAAACAAGATGGAAAGAGTTTGTAAAACAAAAAGGGGGAGGTCTTCTTTTTTTTAATCAGACTTTTCTACATACAACAGGGAAAGTATTTAGTTGAAAGTTAGGTGCTGTAGGGCTATAGACTATATTGTATGGTATTTTTTTTTTTTTAGTAAATAATCTGAAAAGAAAACAAAAAAGGTTGATCCATAGCAAATGTCTGGTAAGCCAATTTGCCGGACATATAGGAGAGCCGCCTTGTAAGTAGATTCTCCAGCTCCAGGTAAGTCTTCAGATGACCAGGCCCTAGCCAACATCTGACTGCAGCTTTATGAGACTGAAACAGAAATGCCCAATTGAGCTGCTCTTGAATTCCTGACTCAGAAATTGTGAGAGATAACACATGATTTTTATTATTTAAAGCCACTAAATTTGGGGATTATTTGATATGCAGCAATAAATAGCTAACATATAATCAATAACAAACATTTATTGCTACTGTACAAAGTATTCTGCTTATAGGGAACTATATAATTATTCAAGGTAACATTTTGCTTTAAAACTAATGCTTTAACAGCTTGACATGTCATTAACTGTATTCCTTTTCGTATAAAATTCCTGAGACAAGGAGAATCAGCCAATCAAATATTTAGTGATCATCCATTAAGTTTAAAGTATTATTCTAGGTGCTCTGCTAATTAAAAGCTATGATGCTAATGATAACAATAACAATAATGGTAACAATTTACTAATATTTATTAAGCATCTACTTTGTCTTAGACACTGTTCTAGACACTGTACTCGTACTCCCATTTAATCTTAATATAAAACTGTATCGTCAAATGTTCTCCAGAAAGTTCAGACCAAGTTACATACCCATGTGCAACAGATAAGAACAGACCGAATGTTTACCAGCACTTAAAAAAAATCGGATTGGTGAAAGATAATTTAGAGAATAGGTGAGAATAGTTTACTGCAGTTCTATGAGTACTAGATCTTTATATTTTAAGCACATTAAACCTTTGTCTAACATGTTGCAAATATTTTTTCCCAGGATGGTAGTGTTTTCTTGATATTTTTATATAGTCAAGCCAATCTCTTCCTTTGTAATTTCTTCCAGTTTTTATAAAGAAAAGGTTATTCTCTATCTCTAAATCAATTAAATTTTCACTTGTATTTTTTTGTATAATTTGTTTATGGTTTTGTTTTGTTTTTTACACATGTAATTATTTTTTGTTGCAGAATACAGGGTAAAGGTTTTTTTTCTTCTTCATAATCATGTCTCCTTCCCTATTTTTTTAAATCCTCACCTGAGGATATTTTTCTATTTATCTTCAGGTAGAGAGAGAGGGAGAGACAGGGAGAGAAGAGAGGGGGAGAGGGAGAGAGGGAGAGAGGGAGAGAGAGAAACATCTATGTGAGAGGGACACATCCACTGGTTGCCTCCCGCATGACCTGACCAGGGCCAGGGACGAACTGCAACTGAGGTACATCCCCTCGGCTGGAATCAAACCCAGGACTCATTGGTCTGTGAGCCGATGCTCTACCACTGAGCCAAAACGGCCAGGGCTCCTTCACTATTGACTAAAATTTCCCCACTGATTTATAATGCCACTTCTATGATCTAAGAAATTCTTTTATTTTTGGGGTATGTTTATGAGCTTTATAACACTCTTTCATTGCCTGTTGGTTTTGGTGCAAATAGCACTTTAAAAAAAAAATTACTGGCTTGTACTCATTCATCAAGAACCATCACATTCTCTTCTAGGAAACCTCCATTTTCACCCTTTATAACAAATAAAATTCTGCCTTGTATCACAGTTCAAAGGATTGCTTGTATCCAATTATATTTTTGAGAGCAGGGAACATGTGTACTATATATTCGTTATGGGATTTGCATTAAAAGGTAGTAACGGCAAAACAGCTCTAGTTTGACCCCCCCCCCCCAAAAAAAAACCCCAAAGAAAATTCCCTCATTTGTTCAATAAACATCACTGGGTTATCTATCCATTAAGAAAAGATAATAAAGGTGAGTGAACCCTATATTCTGCCTTACGGAGTTCACCACTTAGTAGGGAAGAGACATGTAAAAATACCGTATAGGAAATTAAATACAGTGTGGTTATGTGGCATAAAACAAAAAGCATATACAAAGGAGAAAAGAAAAAACGAACTTAGTGAGTACATAGTGGACACACATAGGTATGGTGCTGGTTAAATGTCAAAGGAATTTGTAATTAATCTGAATGACAAAGTGCATCAATTCAGACCTTTTAACATAAGTTTCATTAATTTATCCTTCATTCTGAGACCTTTATAAGGAAGCCTAATGTAGTTTGGGTAGTATGCACAAGCCAAAAAGCACCTCTGCTTGGAAACTGTTTCATTAGCACAAATAAGATGAACGGGATACAGGTGAGATTTAACTCACAGTGAAAATTAGGTACGGCGAAGAGATATAAACCTCTACCTATGCCAGGCTTCTAACTGGTAAACCACTTACACTGGTTGGTTTAAAAGTTATGAGGACTGACTCCTTGACGTTGGACAGTGAGCACAGTTCCAGCTACCAGTCTCACAACCTCGCGGGGCCCCTCAGACCCACAGGGAGCCCAGGCCAGAGGTTAAGGCAGGAACTACTGACGTCATGTAAACGTGACGTCATCAGCGCTGACGCAGTCTCACAGGAGGGGCTTCTCAGCTCACCTGAACGCGGTCAGCTCCTCGGAGCAGCGAGTTGGCCACCTCGCGGACTGCCCCGAGGGTCTGAATACTCAGAGCCGCAAGAACTGAAGCACTGAAGCTGCTGAGGAGCTGAGGAGCCGCCACCTCCTTCCTTGGCCCTTACCCACGTCCTCTCTAGGGCCCAGACGCGGTCCAGGCGGCAGCGCGCTCACGAGCCTGCCGCTGGTGGCGGTCACGCGCACGCACGCTTGTGCGCACGTTCCCTGAGAACCCGGAAGTGCGAGGGAGAGCAGAGCCACGTGGGTGGAGCTGGATCGCAGCTCGCATGGGGGAGTCTATCCCGCTGGCCGCCCCGGTCCCGGTGGAACAGGCTGTGCTGGAGACATTCTTCTCTCACCTGGGTATCTTCTCATACGACAAGGCCAAGGACAATGTGGAGAAGGAACGAGAGGCCAACAAGAGCGCGGGGGGCAGCTGGCTGTCGCTGCTGGCGGCCTTGGCCCACCTGGCTGCGGCCGAGAAGGTCTATCACAGCCTCACCTACCTGGGGCAGAAACTAGGTACCTCCGCCCCGCTCCCCCCGTGGCCCTTGAGTTGGAAGGAAAGGGGGTATATTCCCCGGTCGGCAGTGGCTTGGGTTCCCCGTTTCTGTCACTTCTAGTTGCAGGCTCAACTCGGCACTCCCAGATCTCCTCCCACTCTTCCCTTCCTTCCCTCAGCTTCCACAAACCCCGCCCACCGGCCTCCGCTGCGGATAGATTGGCGGATGGGGTGGATGCTCTTTGCAGGCTGTGCCCCAAACTGATGGATGTATCTGTTTTGCCCAGTGCATGGATTGGTGCCATAAATGAGAAGTTAACCAAACTTTATGTCCTCGCTCTTCTAACCAGTGACGCTGCCGCCAGAGGAGCAAAACGTGGCAATACAACCTAGTTAGAGTTAATGAACACGATTGTCTGGCTTCTTAGGGTTAAGCCCCCCCCCCCGCCCCCCCCACAGATGGAGTCCTGCCCTCTTTTCCTAGGCCCTTAATAAATATTTAATGAATGAACAAGTAAATGAATACTGGACAGGGAAGGCAAGAAATATACCTAACACTAGTAAGAGGGGATGAACGGGGAAAATGGTAAACACTCTTATATCATGAAAATAAGATGCAAGAGTAGATTCAATTGATTTTAACTAGTAGAAACAATTAGTATAAGTAGATCAGAAAGAAATAATATATGTGAAAGTCAAGGGCTAGGCATACCAAGTATTACTACTTATAATTACCAATAATAAATATTATGAATCCCAGAGCTTTTACAGTTATTTTAGTACTTTGGCCTATTTGTAGACCCTTTAATTGTCAGAGGCATAGGTTCTGGTATGAATGAAAGACACCTATAAACAGTATAGGACAGAAATGTAAAATTAAGTGCAGATTCCATTTTGATTCCCTTCTACCTCCAGTTTTCTTATATTATCTGAAGGTGCCCATGTATGTACATCTTTCAGTAAACACTCAAGGAGCAAGACTTTCTTGGATCTTCTACCTTAGCTCTTCAAGTAATAACTTATTTAGTATGTTGACTCATTGGCAGAAGCTGGGTAGATAGTTTCACTTCGTGCATTTTTTCTTCCCCTTTTTACAGTGGGACTTCTCACAGATTTGCAGTTGCTGTTGCAGTTATTCCCCTTTCTCCAGATTGGTAAATTGTGTAGGTGCAGTTGTGTGAGTAGGTGACAAAACCCAAACCAGAATACACGCTTTTGAGCGGTTTGTATCCATGATATATAAAAAAATTTGGTAATGTATTATAATTTACATTTATATGTAAATGGGGAGGATTCTGACTGTAAAATTGACGGTGAGTAATTTTCTGGCAGTTTTCATTGTTTTTAGATTCTCCTTCCTCAGGAAGTGGTGACTGACCCAAGTGCCATGATTCTTAATTTTTAAAATCTTATCTATGAGAATTTAATTAAACCTATGAACTTACTCCGCAGAAAAATATACATGTAATACAATTTTGCATATAATCTGAGAAGATTCCTTTGGATTAGTTAAAGCCTATTTATGGACCCCTGTTTTAAAAAATTGCCACTCTACTTTAAGTTGTATGTACCTGGTTTTTAGGTAAACAAAACTGGCTGCCCTGTGTATAAGAACATGTGTAAGACCATCATTGTCTCTGACTTGGGTTCTGTGAAGTGGGCCTTATTATGCAAAGTGATTGGTCCTGCGTGGACCTCACCTTGCATGGATGAGCTTGAGCGCTATGTCTTGAAATGACTCATGGAGCATTTTACATTCTGAAACATGCCCAGACACTTCAGGCTCCCAGATGACCTGTCACTTTTGAGTACATGTTCTAAAAATGGCATGTTTAACTTTAATGCCTCTTAACTTATTCACAAGTATAATAAATGTGTAGGTTCCAGATGTTAAATTTTAACTTTGTAAATATCTGTCAGTTTTTTCGTACTGGAATGGTAGTGATATCAACATGCTTACCATGATTATTGGGTTGACTCTCCATTTTCTTAAAAATTCTTTTTGTGTTGCCATTTGAAACATCCCCATGTTCTTCAACTACTTTCTTACTTAGGACATTTCTATGATTTTCTTTATAAAGCAAAATAGCCTTGGCCGGTTTGGCTTAGAGGTTGGAGTGTGGGCCTGCAGACCAGAGAGTTGCAGGTTCAATTCCTGTCAAGAGCATGTACCTCAGTTGTGGTTCGTCCCTGATAGCCAATCAGTGTGTCTCTCTCACATTGATGTTCCTTTTTCTCTCTTTCCCTCCTACTCTACCTGAGGATAAATGGAAAAATGTCCTTGGGTGAGGATTAAAAATAAATAAATAAAATAAAAATAAATAAAAGTAAAACAAAACGTTTATATATATATTTTTAAACATTTAAAACATGGTTAAAAAACGTCTTTTTTTACCTCACTCTTGTGACTGGTGTTTACTGGAGACCTTAGCAGTGATTCCTGATTGTAGATGTCTTTTAGACAAAGGACAGACCTGACTGGGAGCTTTCTGTTCCTGTCTTGGCTCACTTGTGAAAAACTTTGGGTGGAACCCTTATCTTGGAACCTTCCTTTCCTTTGAGGGGAGAATATCCCTGTTTATGGAAGGATCAGTGACTCAATGCCTGCAGAGGATTTTAGAAAGTCATATTTTTCTCCCCTTTGTTTCATTACTGGAGAGTTTCCTCAACCTCTGGTTGCTGGAATTTAGCGTGGTAGAAGATGACTTGAGAACTGATGTTTAAAAATTATCAGAAGTTGTAGAATAAAATACCTAATTAGATGTTTTACATGCTCCTTTAATATACTTATTAATTGAGCCCTGGCTGATTTGGCTCAGTGATTGGAGCATCGGCCTGGGGACCAAAGAGTTTTGGGTTTGATTCCGGTCAAGGGCACATACCTTGGTTGCAGGTCAGTCCCTGGCCCTGGTCCGGGTTGTGAGGGAGGCAACCAGTTGATGTGTTTCTCTCACATCAATGTTTCTCTCTCTTTCTCCCTCCCTCCCTCCCACTGTGTCTAAAGATACATGGAAAAATATCCTCAGGTGAGGATTTAAAAAAAAAAAGTTAAAAAAAATATATATATGCACTTATTACTTGACATTTCATGTGTGAGATAGGCTGTTGACATCTTGAGAAATAATGAGCATTCATAAATAGAGCCTTCTGGAAATCATATTTTGTAAATTCAAAAAATTATAAAGAGAAAGAATTCTGGTGTCTCTGGAAGGCTAATTCCCATTGTATATTCCTAACCAGGATAGTTCAATAAAATAGGATTGTGCTCCTGAGAGCTGTGAGAAGAGAGACCTGTATAAAGAAATGGCATTGGTGGTTTTTCCCTTCCTTATAAGTGTTACTTTACTTGTTTGCACATTCTAGTGATGTTTATTGATTAGCTTTTAAAGGTATTCTTTGTTTTTATGTTGTGTTTAACTCCTCCAGAAAAAGGTAATCTGATGAAGGAAGGTATACCTTTTTCACCTAGAGTTAATATTTTCTCCAAGGCCATACGGTTTAACACTGGAAGTGAGTATATAGTTGGGTTCACCTAGCTTTGTCAAATAGATAGCTATTCTTCATAAGACTTGAAATTACCAATTTACCATAGAGTTTCAGAATCTCAATTATGTAGTATTGAGAATTTTCTTATTGTCAGTTATAAATGGGAGGGAAAGAGTTTAGCATTATTGAATATGTGCTTTGTTCCAAGTACATTACATACCAAATGTTACTTCATTTTGTCTTCTTAGCAGCTGTTTTAATAATTTTACATTTAAAACAACAACTAAGGTTCAGAGTGGCTAAGTCATTTGCACATCACACAGCTTGTAAATTTGGAAGCTGGGATTTAGAACCAAATTGTCAGACTTTCACAGCTTTTAGGTTTTACATGGTACTCTTATTATCTTCCTAGATCTTGGCAAACAAAGTTCTCATTACTCCATACCATCAATTTATAAAATCTGCAGAGCTAGACTAAATGTAGGCATGGAATGAAGGCAAACCCTCCAGGGTACGGTCCTGTATAGGATGCTGGTGTCAGGGTCAATCCACCTGTACCTATAGGTTTTGCTGCTGTTAGGAGAAATGATGTGAATGTTAGTCAATCTGTTTAAGCAGTATATTGGAGAAAATGTTTTTTAAGTGTTAGTTGTTTGTCTGTGGATTCAATAGTAAATTGGGTGACCATCCTTCTAGATTTGCCCAGACGGATGGGGTTTCCAGCACATGGGACTAAGGGAGGGTTTCCCAAGAAGCAATACTTTCAGTGCTAAAATCTGGAAAGTCATGGATAAACTGGAACAAGGTGGTCATCATAGTAGTAAGGGATATAAGATTCATTTCTTTCCTTTTTTTTTTTTTTTTTAGAAATAAAACACCATAGGTTAAAATAAAAAACAGTGATTTAATATTCACCCCCACCTGCACCCTCAAGAAATGGCATTCTGGGACTTAAACTATTCTTCTGATTTTGAATCCTTCTGTTTTTTCCTCTTACAAAAGAAAAGTTAAAGTAGATTTAAGGTAAAAGAAAACAAAAACCTTGGCCAAGGGTTTATCACTTGTTTTCTTTACGTTTTCACTGCCATGAAACTGTCCATATTTCTGTGTCCTTCAATCCAAATAAATTCATGGCCACTTATAAAATGAAGGGTATAAACTAGGATGTGTTGACTGTCGGTGAAGATTTTATAAGAGTCTCTCTTTGCACTCTAAGTTTAATTGCCTTTGGTGACTTCTGACATTTCACATTCCTAGATTATAGGAAAGATCTGTGTATGTAGTTGCTTATTTCTTTCACATTTTTATTTTTCAGTTACAGTTGACATACAATATTATATTAGTTTCATGTGTATATCCAGTGATTAGACATTATATAATTTACTAAGTGATCATGATGATAAATCTTCCACCCATCTAACATAGTTATTAAATGTCATAGTTATATGTCATAGTTATCTGACATAGATAGTTATTAGAATATTATTGACTATATTTCCTATGCTGTACTTTTATATCCCATGACTATTCTGTA